CACACACACACACACACACACACACACACACAGCAGCTCTTTAAGGTAGGGTAAGTGGTGGAAGTAATCCTCATACATTTCTCTCACCATAAATCTGGTTCATGTTCTCTGATGGAGAAAATCCCATCAGAACTCAGCCACTTCTTCTAAAATAAAAAAACATGATTTAGTTTATCATGTAAAGGAGTAAACTTTTCTTCATTTTCTGGCCTTATATCTTATTAAAGGAATAGTTTCTTTCTGTGTGAATTCATTTTAATGTTAACTTCTTCAGTTTCCTTTTTTTTCAACATGGGTTTGTTTGTGTTTCCTTAACGTTTAATTTCCATTTCATTTTTTATTTTGAAAGTTTGATTTTATATTTAGTATTACTGTCTGTTGACCTCTCACCTGTTCTCTATTTTTCAGTTAGACTGATTTACGTCACACCTGAGTTAGGTACCTGTGTTCCAGCTCCAGTCATATCATTAAGGTTTCCTGTGTTGTTGTGAGGAACCAGGTTAAATATGATTTAGACATCTGGAAATTCCTGATGGAAAAAATCTGCCCCTCACATTACATACTCCCCACCTCTACATGTTAATCTRAAATAAAACCTGAGGGGTTTCCAGCAGTATTGGTGGTTGTATGTCTGTTGCTGTTGTTTCCTTGGATTGATAACTTAGTTTTTTTATATATTATTATATGTGAATAATTTTGTACAGAGACCTGAGATGATGCCCATTGTCATTTGATGCTATTTAAATTGTACTAATAAAATATATTTTTCTGCATTCTATCCTTGTAGCGGTTGATTATGAGTGTAATTAATTTACTGATTACCAAACTCACAAAAAATGAAAGTTAAAAGCTTTTACTGCAGCTTCCACAGCATTTTATGTACAAGTCACCCATGTTGAATTTGAAGGAGGAGAACACATTTGTTGTATGTTCATAAATGTGTTCATAAAAACAACATGGGAGGTCCAGCAGTTTGAAGTGCAGCTCAGACACCAATCAGAACTGCAAGTTTGATGTCTTGTAGGGAAGGTTTAGCTGCATTGGAGTGCTAGCGATTGTTATCGATGATGACATCATAACATGAGCCGAGCTCCAACAGCGAAAGCTGTGTTCCATTCCAAAATACCTAAATGTGAACTTCAAATGTTTAACATTTACATTTAGGATTTTAAACATTTAAATTTAAACATTTAGATTTAGGATCTAATATTTAAAGAGGTTTATGAACATTTAAATTTAGCATTTAGTCTAATTTAGCTAAATGTAAGAACTGTGAGCTAAATAATGAAAAATATGTTAGTGAATTTTTAACATTTTATTTTACACTTGGCACCCCATACTTCAGTGCTTTCTTGTTAATTTATTCTTGTATCTATAGGTTATTTTTGTCAAGCTAGCTGCGGCCTGAGTCCTTCTGTCATAAACTCAATTAATATTGGTTTAATCCAGCTGTAAGAAAATTATGCGTTGTTCAAAATGGTATGTCCAAATAAACAGGATTCAGTTGGATTTCTTCTTCAGAACTTTATTTTCAATCTTCTGACTCCAATCAGGTTCACAGAACAGCACTCAGCACAGAGGCCTCAGTCAGACCTTGGCCTGATATCAGCAGCGCATCCCTGCTCAGAAGCAGAGACTCTAACACCCTGACAACTTTCTTCTTCCTATAATAATGAATTCAGCTTATAATGTACATCTCTTCCTGGTTACACCCCAGAGGTGTTACCTTTTACATCAGACGTCAGAACGTCACTCAGTTTTGTTTAGGCTAAGAGAAAGAACACATGATAACACACATACACCAACTGTTTGTCAGCTTCAACCTTACAGACTGAAATGATCAGAAAGTATAAAATACAAAACTGAATCTAATATTCAATTAAACAGTTACAAAATTTCTTCACAGCTATTATTCAATCTTTGCAGCTTGATCTGATGTTGGTCTCTGTTGATGTAAGTTGTTATGAGCATCGATGGCGGGGTGATGAGGCATAAGATCTTGTTGCTTGTCCATCCCAGGTGAGGATCACACTCCTGCAATCTTGAAATGCTGGAGAGGGGTTTTGGCTCAAGTTTCCATCACCAGCCTTCTACACACTTCTTCACAGTTTTTTCATTTTTTTTTTTTGTTTGTGTTTTTTTCATTTAGTTTTTTGTTTAACTTTATTTTACCTTCAACCTCCTTCTACTGTTCTGCATTCTGGCCCACCTTCTGCTACCATTCACCTGATAGGTGTGTTATGTGTGCAGTTCTTGTATATATTTTATCATCAGTCATTCATTCCACAATGAATAGTTTGATTTAGACTTTACTAGAAGACAAGGAGAACAGAAGACAAACGGTCAGAGTGAAACAACAGAAACACCAACAGGAAGAAGGATCCTGACAGAGGACTTGGTCATGGAGTCTCAGCAGTAGCATCACATAGAAGAAAAAAACTTCTCCTAAACATAACCATGCTTACACTTTATTACACCATAACTTTACCAAAACTCAACATCTACGTGAGCCTCATTTTTAAAATGTAAACCTCTCTGTTCTTGTCTCTGTCCACGGTTCTGTTTATTCTCTTGACCAGTGTCTTTTGCTGCTGTCCAACATGGCGTGCAGCTCACCAGGCTCGTATCCCAGCAGGCCTTGCAGGTTGCAGACGAAGCGGTAGACGTAGCGTTTGCCGGCGGTCTTTCGGATGATGTTCTTGTCGTAGTAGTAGCGTAGACCACGACTCAGCTTCTCGTAGTTCATCTTGGGTTTGTTCTTCCTCCGGCCCCACAGCAGAGCAACCTGAAACAGACCACCAGACAGGAGTGCACACCTGGTTATCATTTATKATCAGTCTGAATGAGAGATTGAAAATGATCTGACTATATGGTCTTAAATAAATCTTTTTACTTTTAATTTTTCCACATTGTGTCTCATTATAAAAATGATGTTGAAGGTAAAGGTTGTCAGCTCATTCTGACCTGAGCACCATAGTCATGTGTATTTATACTTACATTTTATTTGGATTTTCTCACTTGAAATCACTTTTTTTCCCTAATTTTTATCTTATTTTGGATGAAGGTTGTTGATTTGTTGACATAAAATGTTAAAAAATAAGAGAAAATTGAGAACCAATTATAAGTTGTATTGAAAGAAATTTCACTTTAGGTTTTAGGAGAATTTTTAAAAACATTAGATGTTCATGAGACTGTGGAGATTTACTTTGTGTACACTGACAGGAATAAAAATATATAAAGTAATAAAGCTGGAGTCTCTGGAGAAAGCTGGAGAAATACTGTATTAGGGAGGCCTGATGGATAGCCCCTCATCAGAGCTACACAACAAAAATCTGAAGCTCCTATGTTGAATAATTTTTGAGTTATAAGCAGTTTTGTATGTCCAGACACCCAGAATGAATAACCTCATCATGCTTTGATGCTTTAATCAACAAGTTCTTTACCTCATCTGGATCTGTTAGTTTAAACTCCCACCCGTCTCCAGTCCAGCTGATACATGATTGACAGCTGCGGTCTGTCAGAAGCTCCAGCAGGAACTGCCACAGCTGAATGGGTCCACTTCCTGAGAAGACATGGCAGAGACAATCAGCAGCTAAATACATTTCTGAAACTCTGACCTTCCTCAGATACTGACCAGTGTAACCAGCCAGGATGGCTGCTGGGATCACAGCTTTACCCACAACTGGTTTAGTGCCAGCATTTTCTTTGAGGCTCAGCTGTTTCTGCTGTATCATGAAAACATCATCAAATGAACTCTCTTCCATTGCTGACTCAGCATTATTAAACAGAGGAGTCCACCACAGAGAGTCACAGTTTTGAGCCTTCTTCAGTCCTGACTGTGTGTCTGAAAATATATCAGAAACACATGATGAGACAAGCTCAGCAATTACTGAAATATCTTTAGGTGGATGTTCATGTTTTACCAGTGGCGGCTGGTCAATAGGG